TAAAAAATCCTTTAATCTTTTAATGAACGTATAACTAGAAGTAATTTAAACGCGGTTGAGTTTGTACTCGTTTTAAACAGAAAAGCATCCACCAACCGATTCATAATGAGACGCGATAAAAAATGCCAAAGTTTTTAGTCTGCTTAAATGCCTGTCAGCCAATATGAGCGCGACAACCATTTTTAAATTCAGTCAGCTGGGTTGTGTTTCCACGGCTACCGACCGCTCGAGTCGACGAGTCTCTCGTCTCGAAGAAAAAAAATCGTAGTGGGGATGACCATGCACGTTTTATCAAGGTTGAACGTTTTATCAAGGTCACGCAGAAATGTTGCATCAAGATGCTACTGTATTATTGTTTCCTTTCTGTTATTAGTATTTATACTATTTTATTTACAAAATATATGGTCGATCTCATAAAAGTGTGTTCTATTTATTTTTCATTTTGATTTCTCCCTATTAATTGATATAATTCGGGTTCCTACAGTAGTAAAATAGAACTTTACACAATGTTCTAGTTATTGTGTTAATTACAAAATAATCTAAGAAGATGATACTTCAAGTCATACATGTATGTTATTGTTATTATAATTTATATAATTGATTAGTATTAATCAGCTTTATTATGCTGGGTGCAATTATAAGAATACCTTGCTGAAATAATTGGTAGTTGTCCGCATTGTTTGCAATAGTAATTTAAATATTATTCGTGAAATACTTTGTCTATTTAAGACTTGTAAAACGGACTTAAAATTCGGTAATCGAGATTTTCTTTATTTAAAAGAATGGAACACATAAATTAATTTATAAAAAGACTTTCACCATCGAGGAAGAAAACTCTGCACTATTTTGAAACAAATTAATGATTTTCTTCCTTTTTTTTACCACAATTGCGTTAGTTATATGTATCTTCAACACACTACGTTCAATGCGAACTAATTGTCATTAATGAGCATAAATTTCGTTGAACGTATACACGGTAATAAAATTTAATTAAAAGATTATACTACCTGCATGACCGTGGTCGAAATGTGTTTCCATTGCGAAGCGACATACGCAGTGAAACAAAGGCAGACCTAAGAGAAAAGTCGACGACAATGAACCGAAGAAGGGTAATGACTTTAAATTTATAAACACATAGATCTGATTTCGCAAGATACATTGTTAAACGCACTAGATGTCTTCCGACTACCGTGTGCCGGATTTTCTGAATTTGCTGGCCTTGAAGTTTGCATTACAGAAAAGGTCCTTGACTCCAAACTGGTTCAAGTAATTGTCTGAAAACGTATTCTTCTTTTCGCGAACTACGTCGCATCTATCAGCCGACCTCGTTTTAACTCAATAAATACTGATCGTGAAAGTAAGAAAGAAGTCGAATCCTTTTTACTTTTCATTCAGAAATACTTTCTTTAAACGGCCATTTTTAACTGGATATACATGTATTTCAAAAGATTTCAAGAAGGTGATTTCAAATATCATAAATGTAACTATACTAATATTTCCAAGTTCCATAAATGAGAATGAAAATTTTGCACGTACTCTAATTAAGAAGATTGTTGATCATTAGTTTAAATTGTTTAATCAGATATCTAGGTGTGGATGTAAAATGATAATTTTATTATTTCTACGCATTGAATTTCTATGGTAAATTAGATGGTAATATCGTAACAAAGGAAGGAAACATGAGCAATGTTATGAATTTCATTACGTCACAATTCATGAATTGTTTATTCAAAACATATGGAAATATAAAGAATTAAATGCTTCCAAAAACTGGTTATGGTTGCGATTTATTTTCGCGAACCAGGACTTCCTTGTTATTGTGCGTGTATACACGTGCTATGTACCGAAATTCTTGTACGATGCCGTATTTAAGAAATATATCAAACCCATATATCTGCTAAACGAAAGCAATACTAGTTAATAAAAGCATACACAGAGCAACTCTTGCAATTATATATTCTGGCCTTGAATTCCTCCTTTTAATGGAACTTATCCTCGATTTATGGAACTGAAAACGACTCTTTGCAATCATTACGCACTCGTGTAGTAATAGTTCATAATTTACTAGGAGATATCTATACCTCTTCATTTACTGTCAATGGTCGAAACTGTGATTCTTAATAACAGACATTTCAGTTATTTAAATAATAATCGTGAAACTAAAAAATCATGATTGCGCTGAAAATTGTTCCATTCAAAGAATCTAGTAATTTGTTTTATTTACATAGGCTGAGACAATACATAAGTTTGAATATTTTGGCATTATGTTACGTTTTTGAGCAGCAATAATTAATCAACTGTATCTGTATAGTGCTATTCTAATAGTTTTCACCACCTTTTGCCTCATTTCTGTATTTCACTAGTGTATAAATTCGCGATCCTAATTTTTTTTTAAGTGAATTACATAAGAGAAAATAAAGTTTTAACTGAAAAGTATTTTTTATGTCAATTTCCTTATTTTCTAGTGAAAGTTGATAAAGTAACACATTCTCGGCGCAAATAACAATACATTGTTGGGTATGCAAATCAGCGTTCGTAATACTTATTTGTCGTTATTCTGAATTAGATCAATAATTTCTCCTTTATAAATAATTAGCTTCTCATCCAATGCTGCTCGCTGCATCGAACAAAGCTCAATCAAGAACAGATGAATTCTTTCTGATTAATTTTCTCATAATCTTTTAATTCTTCTTTAAATGTAGGGGAACTGTACATGGTGTTTCAAAACGATGGGACAAACTGAAACGTATAAACTTATCATACGCAAAGAAATTGAAAAGTCGGTATATTGTAAACTGAGACTTATAAATCTAGGATATAATTAGTGCGAATCAAGAATCAGATCAATAAATTTTAATTGCTTATATCTGTAAAACAAAGCCTCGGATTATAAAATAATACTATATAATAAACTCTTCGATTTTTTCCCCATTGTTTTAAAACACCCTGTATACAATATCTTATATCGTATATCGTGGATTAAATTAGTAGTAGTAATAGTAACATGGTAATAGTATGATATATAGAGATGAAGTTTTATTATAAAATAATCTTACATCTAGGATGACCTTCTTTAAAAAAAAATATTATGACAACTGGGTTAATAATTGATTGAAACAGTCGTTGGAATAGAACTTAATGTAAATTAAAATAGTATGAATCAACTTGACACTATTTTATAATAAAATTTCATCTTTAGACACTGTATTGTTCTTTATGATCAGCCATTTTTTTATTGTACAAATTGATCATATCGTGTAATAGTAACTTGAGTGGCGGACATAAAAACAATGGGCAAAGTTCATATAAACATGCATCCTGTTTAGTCTTATCCCTAAGTTATAACCATTTTTATGCTCTGCTAATTACTAATCGTTAACTCGGTTACTACAATTGATTATATAAAACTGTTTATATACAACGCTCGATAATTCATTTCTATCTCTCGACCTTGTTAGCTATCACTTCCTACGAATCAATCTAGATGATTCGTTCGAAAAGAATACACGATAATTAATTAAATTATTGTGCGTTAGAAGAAATAATGAATAAACATTCGAACCAGGAAATGGAAAACATGCAATTGACGCATGGATTTTCTGAATGTAATTCAGTTGAAGCGAAACGCCTGTATGCGAATTGTTTCCTGAATAGATGTCTGTTAGACAAAAGAACTAACGTCTCTTAGCACGGGCTTGTTTAAAAAACGGATGTTAAAAGACTAGATCAATCAGTATTAGGACTGTTAATCTCCAAACGAGAATTCTGAATCGTATTTAATAAAATTGTGACACCAACACTCGAATAATAGCAACGAAAATGATTTTTCTTTGACAGTTAACTCTTATACTCCGTTATTACAAATGTCAAATGTCAAATTTCACAACATTCATTATGAGATTGAAGAAAGTCCATATGCTATTTTTCGATCGAATCACCAATAACAATTTAGTGTAAACATATAGGTGATAATCTGATCGAACCAGTTTTTCTTGGTGGGAGATTAACAAGTCAATCTCATGTTAATTTCTTGAGCAGTTAATTGAATGAACTATTAGAAGAGATTTCCCGTAATATTTTACGTTGTTTGTTATGATATGGTTCTTAAACGAACGATTTTTTAAATTTACTGGATGTTTATTTCTGAAATCGGTTGAAAACTAATTTTTTCCAATACCAATTTCTTGTGTTGAAATATTTCGTCAACCTGTAAAACAGAATATGCAATACACTATTGGTAGTAAACAATAATGACTTATAAACAAAAAAATATTGGAACAGCGCAAACGTTATACTGTTCTTCCTATAAATAAACTAATGACAAAATGAATGCTATGTCCAAGTAGATTCAAAGCAACTGAGAAGTTGATCAATACTGATCAATCAAACAACATTTCTAGTATTCTCTAAATATCAGCTTTTATAAATAACATGTCATAATAATGTTTGTAATTAGTTGCGAAATATTATTCGAACGATCGTAAACAAATTCAAGAATTGAAATCGTGGGAATCCAGTCGACAAATTTGACAAAATGTTGATAAAATGTACCCTCAACAGATTATGTCAAAATAAGTAAAACAACGGAAAGTCACAAGACAAAATTACAATTTACCATATGAGCGTTCTTCTGTACTCTGACAAGTTGATGAATGTCTTGAATATGGTGCGTGCGTACTTTAAGTGGATCAGAACAAGACAGTGGTTCGAATGATATTATTCAGTAAAAGATTGTACAACTATATGACGTGAGTATGCAGAAACGTCCTCCATAGTTGTTTACTAGATACAAAGGTATTTACCATGACATGATGTCCAATGCGTGGCAACGCACTAATCACCGATCTGGGAAATTTTCCGATTCCCTTCCCTGTCTGTGAATGGATCAACAAAAAAGCGTACGATCTCGAATCATCGTCAAATTTTATATTTAGAAATTAACGCAGAAAATAAGTCGAGGAAGTTTCAGTTTAAAGAGATTCCAGGGATTTAAATTCATACCAGGGCACGCCCGACGAAATTCGTGCACCAGGTTCATATCTAAGAGAGAGGTTCATTGCAATGACATTTTTTTCTGGAAATTGTGCATCTCTGTGAAAGATGACGCAATTTCTGTTGGTATTTTGCCGCGTGATAACCGTAATAAGGTAAATTCATCTTTCATCGGGTAAGACGTGGTCAATTTGACCTTGACCTCGGGAATGAACGAAATTTACTAAAGAAATTTACTTGTGTGCCAGATTACGTTTATTGCAAAATTGTAAATCGCGAAACTGATGTATACAGTTGTCGACTAATTCTAATTCTAATGATTCGAGAAGATTTTTTACACGTCATTCGTTTCGGGTAAAAGTTTAAATAATCAGTTAAAAGATTTTAATTAATCGGCACATTGAATTCTCTAGTGACTGAAGCTCAATTATTAAAGATAAAATTCGTAAAAGTGAGTCAAAGTTGTTGTGGTTGTGGTTGGTACGATGGGATATTAAAAATTGAAGGAGATTCCAGATGCCGGGGAAATACTTTTCCCATTTGCACATTTTTTACGTGTTATCCACCATAGAAAATCCCCGCAACGCGTCACTCATCTACAATATTTTAATCTTCAAGCGGCTAGGTGGAATGCGTAGCGTGAGATAAGTATCATCTTGAGGAGAAATATTTCACTACGATCACGGTAATGCAAAGTTATCGTTTAAACTGTGAACTGTAAAATCAATTAAACAAAATACCGGTAAATGATAAATTCAAATACAATCGATAAGATTCAACGCTTTAAGGAAGTATTTTAAATCAAATTCTTTAAAAAAATTGTTTTGGAAGATTCACGATAAAATAACCCTTTAAAAATATAGTATGATTTCGACTCTACCAATTGAGAATACAAACATTCGTACGAGACCATAATTTCCTATTATTATTTTCAATTTCCTTCTATTGGTGTAGAGTGGAAAAATAGTATCCGGACTATAATTACAGAGTAAAATAATTGATACGAAAATTCATAAAAAGGTACGATAAAAAAATGTAACAAAAACTCCGGAAAGATATCTATGAAACGAGTATAAGGAACACAAGAAATCAGTGACGAAAAATTGCTAAGATATTCTTCGAGTAGGAACTTAATACGAAATTGCCACAGATCAAATGATAAAACGTAGACGTGGCTATAAAATCGATAAGAAATTAATCGATATCGGCAAAGCTTATGAAAATAGTATATGGACAAAACAGTGAACGGTACGAGGGGTAGGAATCCCTCGGATCCAATATTTCATCAATATTCCATTGACCTTTGAACGCCTCAAACGATTGACGTACCGCAATTGTCGCGAGACCAGGTAATCTTGTGATCTTCCACCTAGGAACAGTCTTCTCTCATCCGTGGTGGGGCACCGATTCCGGTCACCGATTGGTCAGTAGTCCACGTGCTCCACGCTGCGTTCAGCCAGTCGAAACTCAAGTGGGGGATTGCAATGACTCTAACACATTTTTTGAACTTCTACAAATGCACGTTTTCATCACTTTTGCACAGAAGCGCACGGCGTACGCACCGAGAAGAAAGTTTGCTCCGCGTGCCCGGGAAACGATCCAACTAACAATTTACCTGCCGTTTCATGTAGCATTCGAAGCGAGATCATCCGGTGTACGTAAATCGAATCCAGGTTTTAGCCTCGAGTGTATCATCGGGTGAGCATAGTTCTGGGAGTTGTATTTCGCTAGAGAAAAAGACTCTGGACGAACTCGAGAATTCACAAATATCATCGCGTCGAACTGGAATTTCCGAAAGTAGTTCTACAACGGAAATTGCTCGGATTTTTAGATCGGTTGTTAAAAGATCGATCCCGGCGTGCTCAAGTTTTCTTCCGATAATAAATAAAACATCGACAAATCCGTAACGTTTCGCGCGAGTTCTGTGTGAAAAAGAGTCCTCGGGACCCGTATCGTTTCCGTAGTACATCGACAGAGAAGTGAATTTCTCGTCTTCGGTTTTGATTAACTTGGTTTTCGATAAACTGTCCCAGTGACGTGCAGCCATGAAGGATTTCATGATGATATGGAGTCAACTGACCGGACGACGGTTCTCGTCCGTCAATGTGAATCAGAATCCAAACGATATCAGCGAGTTGGAGGAGGTGTCGATCAGTCGAAAGACGAGTCTCGGGAGAAAGTCTTCGATCGTCGTGAATCGCTTCTTCAATGCAACTTTACCGGTGCATTCGAACGGGAGGCCGAAATGGTCAAAAAGTGAGTAATTATTAACATCAATTGCGCCGTGTATAAATATAAAGAAGAGTTGTTTACTCCGGTAAGATACCGGTCGCCTAAGTCGTACATATCTCTTCGATTTCTTTATTATTACCGAATATAAGTACAATCTAATGCCAACTGTATGAAGTGACCGAGTAATGAAAAGTGTAAACAGAAAATTAACAGACAATATTTTGTTACGTGTGTGGTATAAGCGTTTTGAATAATCAAATATGATTAAAACGCCAAAACTTGTTTCGAAGAACTCGGTTTACATTTGGAAGCCTCAACCAATATCAACTATGATCGATGTAATTTAAGAATACGTATTATGTTTACTATAAAAATTAAATTAATATTTTGTCGAAAGTTATTTTGATTCCTAAATCATACCACTATTTCTTAAATCGTATCAGTATGATTTATGAATACGTGCTTAACATGCTCGCCACCACGCATCTAACTAACCACATAGATTATGCGAGACGCATTCTTTTTATAAAATTATTTATTTCGTACTTTAATTTCTATGTGATTCTACTACCAAATATGTGAAACAGTGATTATTGTCATTTTATATAAACAATTATAATCTATTTTAAATTGTTAGAGAAATGACATCAAAATGGAGTTAAAATAAGCATAGCAAAACGATTGAATCAATATTACTTTTAATACAAGTTTTTAAAAAGATTTTGAACACTGACTTTTGCACCATACCATAAAAAGACTTTTAAAGAATTAATTTATTCTTGCACTATACCATAAAAAGACTTTTAATGAATTAATTTATTCTTGACAATAAGTTTAACATATAGCAATATGCATCTTGAAGACCAAGCTACAATTTTCAATATTAATTCACATCAAAGTTAATACCAAATTGGCAATTTAGCATGAAATATTTTCATTTCTACGATTTACTATTAAATTCAATGACATCTGATATTGTCATAATATGCATGTCATTTTCTTTCTGTAAACATTTTTAACCAATTGTTCATTATTAGTTTTGTAATCATAAAAATAAGATAATTTACATTAAAAAGAAAAATTTATGTAAATTATAACAAATTTTTTTTGTTTAGATGAATCGAAACATAAAATATAACTGAACATTAGGTACAGAGTGAAAAACTGTACTGGAGTATAAACATAAAATATATACAATTAATAATTATACATGGCACTTAATATTATGTACAAATTAGTTAAAAGACAAAAAAAACTTTAGAAGCTTCCACATAATCTTTATTTACAATACATTTTTTTGCTAATGTAAATAATGTCTGTTTATATTTTATTTTTCGGTACTTCCTCATTGTATAATTTACATATATTTTCCAGTAGATTTATATCATTCTATTTTGATACTTTCTGAGATAACCACGAATGGACATGTACATATGTACGTCCAATGTCATTAGACTATTTCGGTTGAATTCTTCAGGGATCAGACTTGAAAATAAGATTACAAATGTACTATTCACTTTAAAATCGTAGATAAATTATTTGAATCATTATTAGGGAGAATTCTTTAAAAATTTATCCAATTAAATAAATATAATTCAATCGTTACACCGACAAGAACAACATTACTCTACTCGTTTTTATCCGTCACGTATTATTTGAACAACATTTGAGCGAATAATAAATATAGACAACACGTTACTCATACAAATATATAATGGAATGCAAGTTTATTTGGTAATTGTAAGAAAACCTGAGTTATGTATCAACGTCAATGATAATGTGCACACAGACTTCTGAAGATAAACTGGTTTTACAGCGGCACCAGTGGTAATAACATTGAATTGGAATTTTACTACGGATATCCACCTATAGGTTTACGCACAAACCAATAGTGGATGTTGATTTGGAAAATTTTATGAAGAATAAATTGTCAAACGTACATAATTATCAGAATTCTCAGAAGTTGTATGCATATAAACTTTATGTGGTATTCTTCAGTATTTTTGGATTTTATAAAATATTTTTATAAGAGATTCCAAGAAAGTGTTAAGGAATTTATATAATTACATCAAATTGTCCAATTCATATATGAAATTCAATAACAAGTCTAACTCGTGGCACTCAATAATATCTCCTTTTAACTAGTTTTGGTTATTATAAATAGGAGAATATTTTACTGCAAAAGTTGATTGAGTTTCGAACTTGCGTATCTAATTATTAATAGTTTTTAATTTCATAAGCATATGCTTATAATGTACAGAACTAAATGTCACACTTCATTCACGATTATCACAACATAACATATGTATATACAAATTTCGCAAAAACAGAACCGCGATTCACACGTTCATTGTTTCACCTTTCTGCTTACATTATGTAAATGTACACAAGTTTTTGAAATTACTCTTTTCTCACTTTTGTATCAAGTTTGACACATTTCCTTGAAAAAGCTTCAAGTACGTGTTGCCAACGAAAAAACGGAGCTGTTTCGGAAATTGAAAAGACTCTACCAAGGAATAGAAATGGCACGAAAATCAATCGATAAGACGCGACTTGTATACTTAATGAAAATTCTAATTTCATTTCTATACTCAAATATAATGACATCGAGTCAACGTATAAACAGAATTTCTATACTTTCTATTCCAAAAAATTGTTGTGGAAAAAAGATACTGAGATTGAAAAATAATAACGTAACATCGTCTTGTCTGCTTTTTTTGTGGAATAACTGCAAGTAAAAATTTCTCAAACGGGAGAAAAATACACATTACTTACGTTAAAACTACACTTGCATAGAACCAGTATAAAGAGAATAAAATTATCTAGAAAAACTAAGACAACGCCTAATTTATCAATAAATTAATTGTCGATATCAGTAAGGTCTTCTGAAGAATTCGTATGTCAAATGTCAATGATGTCTCCCATAAAACATCGATAATTTCGTAAATAGATTACATACGTTTAATGCTGCAAATGCACAAGAAAACCGCGACCTATTTCCATCATACAATGAACTAAATTTACGACGATTTCATTGGTAGTACATCTCGGTGTATATTTACGTAATTAGACTTCGATACAAGTAAATATTTATCTTGCAAAGATTGTGAAATACAGGAAAGCTTTCAATCACTGAGTCATAAGCATTGGACTTGAAACAAAGCCTCATTTGTGTTACATGACCGAGGAAAATTGAATTGAATTTTAGTAAAAAGAACGATATAAAACTGTTAGAAAAAATTACTGCATTGGTAAAACGGCTTCCTTCGGCTTTTTCTTTAAAATTAACAGTGAGTTATTACATTAAAAGTGTTAAACAAAACTATCTAAACTTATAGACAAAAGTTGCACAAAAAGATTTAGCATACTGTGATTATACAGGGTGTTCGGCCACCCCTGGGAAAAATTTTAATGGGAGATTCTAGAGGCCAAAATAAGACAAAAATGAAGAATACCAATTTGTTGATGGAGGCTTCGTTAAGAAGTTATTAACGTTTAAAGTTCCGCCCATACTGAATTTTTTTCTTGAAAATGCGCAGGATTTCGGGGGTATGTCTTTTTACCAAAAATGCTTGTAATTGACCCCTGCAACTGAAAATATGTTTTCCAGAACGATTTAAAATTTTTTAATTTCACCGAAAAATTTCAACATCTACTCGAATTTTTTTCTCGAATCTGTGTAGGATTTTGGGGATATGTCTATTCACCAAAAATGCTTGTAATTGTGAACACCCTGTATAATGTCTATAACGTAAGAACTTTGTTTCGTAACAATTTTTTTCAATAATCACCCGATAAAAAGGCTGAATTAAATATCTGAATCTTTCCATGCACAAATGGAACTGATTTATTCATTGTTATAGAATTCTGTTTCTGTTAGAATTGATAAATAGATCAATTAAAATAGTGTCGAGTGAATCTCACTTCAATACAATGCTATTATTATCGATAACAATAGATATGTCCATTTTCGATTAGGTTTCGAAGGCTTTTATTTGTATTAAATATTATGTCTACGGTCAACAGAACAATTAAGATACCTTTTCTGTGACAACAAAGAAAAAAGTAAGGAGAGTACACGTCTCTAGGTGAAGTATTCAATGCAGCAATAAATAAGCGATACGCGTACTTCATGCTAATAATGATCATCCTTCCTGGACACACGCGTCGGTGAATGGTAAGATCATCATAAAATCCGCGAATATGAAAAGCTTCCTTCTTTGCACAAGACCGAAAAATGGTATTTTAATAATAGTAATTAAGAAAAACTCATAATAGGACTCATAATTAAACAATTTTTGCAAAAAATATTTACTCTTGAATGGAAGACATCAAAGTTCTGGTATTAAATTTTCATTACCCTGTAAGACATTATAATAACAAAATTATTCAATAGGAAATATATTTAGAAGAAATTAACAATCCGATTACTATAAACAAAAGTGATTTGATTAAAGTAATTGGTAGACATTAAACACTGATTTTTCATAGACCAACAAGAATGAATTGAGATAGGTAATGGCATAATTTAAATGTAATGGACTATAAATACATGATGCAATAATAAATAGAGATTATAACCATGAACTTTATTAAATGGGAATAAAGATAGTTTTTTAAACGCAAAAAGTGTTAAATAATTATGCGCGAAATGTACGCTACAGTGACAATAACACAATCCAAAATGTACGAAACATCGATGGAATACGTATCCTATGAAAACAGGAACACATAACAGGTCTACGTACCGAATTCGAAACGTTTGTTGCCTATTCGTAACAGGTACATCTTTAATCGATGGCTTGATACACTAGCAGAATGTATTAACATATATTTTTGCGACAATATTTGTGATGAGTCATTCGACACAAAATTAAACAGCGAACTATTAGTACAAATGTCCGAAAGACTTCATAATTGGAAACGTATAAACAACCGTCTTATTTTTAATATTAAAGAATGAAAATCATAGTTAAACAGTATCAAAGAGATGGTAGATAATAATAAGAGTATACTCTTCTGTA